AGACCCATGTAATTACTAAGGGCTTTTTGAAAAACTAAAAGAAAGGGTTCTGAACGTTTGCAACATAAGGACACGTGTTTCAGGAGACGTGTGTTTACCCTGATTAAACCCCACATGATGCACAAAGAACTGGACAACAAACAGAATAAGGCTTTCCAACACACAGGTACAAAGATGGCATTTAGGGGCAGGGGTTGTGGCTGAGTGGTAGAGCACTTGCCTTACACTGAGTTTGAGGCTTTGAGTTCGATCCTCAGCACATAAAAATAAAGAAAGATACTGTGTCCATCAACAATTTAAAAATATTTTTTTTAAAAAAATGGCATTTTACAGCTGGGGCTGAGCTCAGTGGTAGAGCACCTGCCTTGCAATGTGAGGCATCGGGTTTGATCCTCAGCACCACATAAAAATAAATAAAGGTATTTTCTAAATGATATTTTATTTATTTTTTTAAAGAGAGAGAGAGGGGGAGAATTTTTTAATATTTATTTTTTAGTCTTCAGTGGACACAACGTCTTTATTTGTATGTGGTGCTGAGGATCGAACCCAGCGCCACGCGCATGCCAGGCAAGCACGCTACCACTTGAGCTACATCCCCAGCCCCATATCTAATTTTTTTTTAATATTTATTCTTAAGTTTTAGGTGGACACAATATCTTTATTTTACATTTATGTGGTGCTGAGGATCGAACCCAGCGCCTCGTGCATGCTAGGTGAGTATTCTACCACTGAGCCACAACCCCAGCCCCCCCACAAAAAATTAGCATTTTAAAATGAAGACTATGGCTGGGCATATCGGCACACATCTGTTGTCCCAGCAACTTGGGAGGTTGAGGCAGGAGGACTGCATGTTCAAAGCCAGCCTCAGCAACTTAGTGAGGCCCTAAGCAACTCAGTGAGACCCTATCTCTTTAAATAAAAAGGGGTGGTTTGGGGCTGGGATTGTGGCTCAGCGGTAGAGCACTCACCTAGCACAGGAGGGACCTGGGTTCGATCCTTAGCACCACGAAAAATAAAGGCATTGTGTTATGTCCATCTACATCTAAAAAATAAATATTTTTTTAAAAAAAGGTGGGGTGGTGATGTGGCTCAGTGGTTAAGAATCCTTGGGTTCAATCCCTGGTATCAATAAATAAATAAGTAAATAAGAATTGGAACTCTGGAAATAAACCCACCAAAAGAACGCAAGGCCTACATGAAGAAAATGAAAACTTTTACATAAAAGGCCTGACCAGGGCTCAGGTTGTGGCTCAGAGGCAGAGCACTCGCCTAGCATGCCTGAGGCACTGGGTTGATCCTCAGCATCATATAAAGCAAAATAAAGACATTGTGTCCACTTATAACTAAAAAGTAAATATTTTTTTAAAAAAGGCCTGACCAATGGAAACACATGTCTGAGAGACTTGAGAGGACGACTGTGGGGTCAGAGCATGAATACAACACATGGTTTCCACCTCAATGACCCAGCTCACTTTAGAACTCTAGCCCACACAAACACCAGCCTACCGTTTTCTAAATGTTCACATCCATGGTGGCACACGTTTTCAGAAACGTCTCAGCACTGTTCATTTGCAACAAATGAGAAAATTACTTACCAACAGGAATGAGGCAAGGTCTGAAACATTGAAGTGGAAGGGGGCCAAGAATCCCCAGGTGGAAAGCCACACCACCATCCTCCTCCTCCCCCACAGGCAGAAGCTCTTCCCTGTTTTTCCTCTGCCCAGCGAGAAGCCAGTCATTACTCCACAACAGGAGGCTAAGGTCCTAAGGAGTCAGTCTACCCAATAGTGGTGGGAGAAGTTCTGAAGGAATAACCCAAATCTACCCATTTCATGCCAAATGCACAGAGTCACACAGCAGAGAATTTTCCTCTTTAAAAAAAAAAAAAATTCTTGGGTTGCGGCTGTAGCTCAGTGGTGAAGCACTTGCCTAGCATGTGAGAGGCACTGGGTTCAATCTTCAGCACCACATAAAAATAAATGACATAAGGTATTGGGTCCATCTACAATTTAAAAAAATATATTTAAAAAATAATTCCAGGCTGGGCTGTGGTTCAGTGGTAGGCACTTCCCTACCAGGTGTGAGGCACTGTGTTCAATTCTCTACACCGTATATAAATAAATGAATAAAATAAAGGTTCAGCAACATTTTTAAAAAAATTTTTTTTAATTCTCCCTGGGACTGGGGATATAGCTCAGTTGGAAGAGTGCTTGCCTAGCATTCACAAGGCCCTGGGTTCAATCCCAGCACCATCAAAAAAAAAAAATTCCTTCCTGCCAAGTTGGTGGCTCATGCTACAAGGAGGCTGAGGCAGGAGGATCACAAGTTTGAGGCCAACCTGGGAAACAGAGTGGGGCCCTGTCTCAAAATAAAAAAATAAACAGGACTGGAACTATAGCTCAGTAGTGCAGTGCCACTAGGTTCAATCCCCAGTATAGCAAAAAAAAAAAAAAAAAAAAATCCATCAATCAAATAAGTAAGTAATTGTTCCTGAAATTCTGAACCATCAAACATAATAAATCATTACCAACTAGTTCCCAGTAAGAAGTGCTTTGGTTTGGAGTCCAGTATATTAATTCTGTTATTGGCAAGAAGCAGTAGCAGGAAGAAAACAAGAATAATAGGCACAACTCCGCCAGCAGAGGGCATGATCTAGCAGCTCTGAGAGCCCAGGTAATCGACCCCTTTCAAGATTCAAGACAGATAAGGACTATACTTCAGTACACCCTGTGGAGCCTGGCACCAGAACCCACACCTGTAATCACTGCGCCACTCACCATATGCAGAGACTGAGAGGCTGAGGCTGGAGGACTACAAGTTCAAAACCAGCCTCAACAACTTAGCAAGGCCCTAAGTGACTTAGCAAAACTCTTTATCAAAATAAAACATTAAAAAGGACTAGGGATGGTTAAATACCCCGGTTCAATCCCTGGTCCCCCTGCCAAAATAAAAGATTAAAAAACCAACCAACCTGTGACAGGGCTGTAGATGTGGCTTAGTGGTACAGCACTTGCCTAGCATATACAAGGTCCTGGGTCAATCCTCAGCACAGTGGGGTAGAGGGGAATCCTGTGGCTCTGCACATGTGGAGTAAGGTCAGCATGAGGCTCCCTCCAAGGCCTTTGCTACCTCACTCCAGACAGCCTGTCACCCACCTCTCCTCCGGGACACCTTTCCCCCAAAAGGCCCCATTCGCCAGAAGGCTCCACTGCCAGGTCAGGTCATATTCATGTCTCAAGTCAGCCTTCCCCACCCACAGCCTCAGGCAAGTAACAACATCCACACCCAGAGCTTCTAAACTGGCCAGCCCTTCTCAAAGTGAATTGAACATAATATGAAAGACTATTTCTAAATTCAAGGAACCATGCTCTACAAGTGATGTGATCTGTAAAACATCTGACCAGGTCCCAAGGCCATCCTCCTCCACTGCACCCAAGAGCCACCCATCACAGGTCCTCAAGGCCAAAGAGAATCCACCACGCTCCCACCATCAGGGAGCTTGTGCTCAGCCAGAAGGATGATTTCCCACCTGCCCCACCCACAGTGGTCAGCTCACAGGACAGGCCTAAGGAGGAAGATCAGGGAGCAGGGAGGCCCATCAGCTTCATCCCAAATAAGGCAAGGCAGAAAGGCTGGGATGAATACCCACAGACTCTGCTCCCTCCACATTCCACTCATCACTCAACAAACACTGGGTGCTTGGAACACCAGCACTAAGCAAAACAGTAAAGGATACTTGGTGCTCACCACACTCACAAGCCAGTGGGGAAAGACACCCAAAGTCGAGTTAGCCACAGGAAGCAGGTAATGAGACATCAAAAGGAGAAAACTACAACAGAGGAACTGGGGGTACTGCAGTTTCCTAGGGAGGCTGAAGAAGGCCTTAGACAGAAGCCATCTGGGTATCGTCCTCAAGGAGGCAGGAGAATAGAGGTGAGGAGCCAGTTGAAGCAACAGAACCAACCAAACCAACCAAGTCCAGGGGTGAGAGTCAGGGACAATTCAAGGAAAACAGACCAAAACGGAGGGTGGGAGCGAATGGGAACAACAGTCGACTCAGGAAGTGTCTGCTGCCTTTTGTTTCTAAGATGAAAGAAAAAGGGAAGAAAAATGATGAGTGATTCAATCAAGAAGAAGACAACCAGATAGAACAAAAGGCGCCAGCCCAGGAGAAAAGAGGCCCTTTCCCGTGCGGACAGGACCTTCTGTGGGTTCTATCCACTGTTTCGAGAGATTAGAAATATCTGCGGAAGGCAACCTGATGGGAGAGGGCAAAAGGGAGCAAACGAAATAGGATGTTTTCAATTCAACAGACGTTTCCTGACGACCATCTCTGTCAAGCCCTGCTTTGGGTCTGGTGTGGGCATATGTTAAACAGAAAACACGGGTCCCGTCCCGCAGCCACAGACCGACCAAAGCAACGAGCAACACACCACCAAAGATGGGTTTTGAAGGATGAATAGGAGTTAGCCGCGCTGTGACTACTAAGGGCTAACGGGAGTACCGAGCACAGCTCTTTCGGAAGGAACAGGAAATGAAAGGAAGGCGAACGACTATGAAAGACCGGCGCAGTGGGATGGGGAGCGCTCCGAGCGCCGCCCGGTCCCAGAAACCTCCCTCCCGGGGCCCGCCGCTCACCACACGCACCGGAAGCGCTGGATATTCCCCAAGGCAGTCCGGCCTGCACCGCGCCGCCCAGTCCCGTTCCGCCGCGACGCCGGGGCCGCCAGCCAATCGGAGGCGGGATCCGCCACGCCCCCCGAAGGAGCAGCCAATGACGGAGCACCGGGTCCGGAAGTTATTCCAGCCGGACTGCGTTTCCACGGACGCGCAGGAAACCACCCGTGGTTGAGCCGGTTGCGCTGACTGGCCCGGCTGGGCCGTGTGAGTAAAGGCGGGGAGATCGGGGTGTTGGAGCCGTAGGACGCGGGCGGCACCCGGGGACCTGCCCTCTGAGGCAGCCTGCGCGCCGGGTCACCTTCCTCGAAGTCCGGCCTGCGCTTCGAAGGGCGCGGAGGCGGCCGCGATCACCCCACCCTATACCCCTGGGCGCAGCCGACCCTCATGGTCTCTCTCCCGCCCTGTCCCAGAAGGTCCCTCGTCCTTTAGTGCCTGTCGTGTCGCCTTGGTCCCCTGCAGTAGGGTCTGGAGGCTCCTTTGTGCCCATTTCACAGACGTGGACACTGAGGGAGGAGCAGGGAAGTAACATGACTTGCCCCAGGATTCACAGTCAGAAGATGCCCGAGCAGGGTGTGAAACCCGGCCCTCTCCCGACCTCCGCACTAAGGACTTCCCACTGCGCCGCTTTGGTGCACAATAGCCGCAGGGAATTTACAGATGCCTAGGGTGGGGAACAGGAAGAGGGTGGGGAAGTGATACGGCCGCCAGCCCCGGCGGGGGGTTGCTGATGCAATGAGTAAAGGTATATAGAACTCTGGGTTCTCTTAAGGGTTTCATCTGTCTCGGTTCCCCTCCCCCATCACACACACCAGCAGCCAGCCCGCCCCTCATTGGACAGGCTCATCAAGGAGGTTGGTCAAGAGGCTAAAGTGTTTCTGAGAAAATGGGTGGTTTATAAGAAACTCATAAGTGTGCATAGCTGAAGGGGTGGAGTGACCAGAACGAAAAGTACCTTTTCTAAAAAGGAAACTGAAAGAAAAGGTTGAAGAGTATTAAAGACCCTCTCTGTGTGTCTCAGCAGGGCATTCTCCGCTGCTGGACTGCCTGGTGTGACCGGTGGCCACCTCTGCAGTTTGTCCCACAGCCTGGGTATGTATGAACATCTTTGCTAGGTTGGGGGTTTGTTTTTCTTAGTGTTTTAACCAGCCTTGTACCAAAGTACAGGAAACCTCAGTTTAGAGGATAAGAGATTGTGTCTCTCAGGACTAGGGCATTTTGCTTTTGATTTCATCCCACTGACCCAAAGTTCAGGAGGTTCCCTGCTTCCACAGAGAATAAAGATGGTGGATGAACAGTTGCTGGTTGGATTCATAGCTTGCCTTCAGCACCTTCTTGTTGGCTGCCATATGTTTTCCTGGCATGGCCTCCTTAAACAGCATCTGAGCATATTAGCATTCCTGTGATGTCCAAAGTACCTAATACCTGGTTTCAGATATTTTAATATCTTCTTTCCTTTTAAGACAATGTTCATTTTATTATTTGGAGGAGAAAAAATAATCTTTCCTTTTTGTGTTAATGGAACTTAATCCAGAGTTTGAGGTGTAAAGAACTGCTTACCCTGAGGAAGCCGTTTCTTGTCCTCTGGGAACTTGCGAGTCCCAAACCATTAATAGCCACACTCTGAAGCCATCATCCCTCCTCTGTGGTATTCTAGGCATCCAGAAACTTTTCTGGGTTACCTGTTCTTCCCAGCTGCTTCAGAATTGGCTGCCTTAATGCTATCCTTCCCCACACCAAAGAATTAGTATATTTTTATCTGTGATGATTTCAGTACAGCCCAGGGCATTATTATTTCTGTTTCTTATCCCAGTATTGTGTCCACATTCTTTATGTTCCTGTTATGCCCATCCAGAACAAAATGAGCATAAGATGAAGTTCTTGAAACTTCAGCACCTCTTTCTTCCAGATTATAGTGTTAGTTAAATAGGCGAAATAAGTAGGCTTTCCTTAACAAAAACTCAACTCTGTATTTGCAGCTTATGTGGTAAACATGTAAGGCAATGATCCTTAACTTTTCAGCATCTCAGACCCCTTTGAAAAAATAGTGAAGCCTGGATAGATACCCTGCCTAAAATCTCAAACCAGTGCATGGGAACTTTGATGTAATTTCAAAGGTTCATGAACAGTAAGCTGATACCTTCGGAAATTAAACTTAATTATAAAAGTTAGCTAACAAAGAAATAAAGAAAGGGGTTGAATAGGTGAGTGGGGGAGGAAGCTGCTTAAACAATAATAGGACAAATGGATGAATGCATGAAATGAGGAAGATGGTAGTTCTGTTCTCATCTTTGATCATTTCTGGAAGGCTCACTCAAGAAGTTGCATCATGCTGGGTGCATGCCTGGAATCCTAGCAGCTCAGGAGGCTGAGGCAGGAGAATTTCAGAGTCAGTCTCAGCAATTTAGTGAGGCTCTAAGCAACTTAGTGAAACCCTGTCTCTAAATAAAAATATTTTAAAAGGGGTGGAGATGTGGCTTAGTGGTTACGCACCCTGGGTTCAATCCCTTGTACCAAAAAATAAATTACATAATATATAACTTCTTTGGGAGAGGATTTAAGTAGTGTGGGTGACTCCCACATGTTGAGAGCCACAGTTTAGTGGAATGACTCCTGGCATTTTGCTAGAGGGAATGGTTGAAAGGTGACCCTGCTCCAGGATTAGGGCGGATCCTCCAGGAACAGGGCGGTTCTGGGATTAGGGTGGTCCTGATGCCTCGGGCACCGTTACTTTGGAGTTCTTCCGGGGTTCCAGGAGAATTGGCGAGCTAGGAATTGTTAAAAGTACTTTTGATCTATATTTGATTTGGGTCTTACTTAAAGACTTCAGAACATTACTCCACTGCTTGTTGCTATTCATGCAGGGTACCACATTTTTAGAAGGATAGAGTTAGCCAAAGGAAAATGTAGAGAAGAGTGAGGATGGTGGATAGACATTAGTTAATAGGTGTGGAAATCAAAACTAGAGACAATAGACCCAGAGCTGACTCCAGGGGACCTGCTTGGCTCTCCCCAGATCAATGTCAAGACGTTCAATAAGAGATGTTTAAAGTCCAGATGGGAGAAATCAACCTTCAACAAGAAGAATTACTTGTAAAAATATTAGAAGAGAACATACCTTGAGAAAAAAGTTGAAACACATGACTTATAGGATTCATTCAGTAAACGGTTACTTTTCAGTGGACTAGTTTTCATCTTTATTTTATTTGAATGTGGTGCTGAGGATCGAACCCAGCGCCCCGCACATGCCAGGCGAACACACTACCGCTTGAGCCACATCCCCAGCCCTGTCTACTGAAGAAGGCATGAAGAGCTAAACTGCACTGTACATGTTTGATGAATCTCTGAAGGGAATGCTCAGGGGTCTCAGAGGGTGGAGTGACCCACTTGGTCACAGAAACACAAGGGTTAGGAAAGCCTGCCAAAAACTGAGGTTTAAATTGGAAAGATACTGAGCAGTGACCAGGGAGAGGAGAGTAAGGCATTCTGTATGGGGAGCAGCTGCAGTTCTGAGAGCCCATAGTCACCATGGCTCTGGCATCAGATCTGGCTCAGCCCCTAGTGTCGGAACCTCAAAAGAGTTTTTCTGACTGTTCAAGCCTGTCTGCTAGTAGAGAGCTTGCACACTCACACCCACTTTTGAGAGTAGAAAAATTCTGGATAATGTGCAGTGTCATTTGTGGTTTTGTTATTTTCATTGTTGTTTGGTACTGGCAAAGACCCCCTGAGAGAGCTTAAGACTGAGTAATTTGGTCAGCTTACTGATAGCCAGTGAGAACCTGAGTTTATCCTGCTCTCTGCAGTAAATGGAAGTTTCTTCCATATTCCATCCCTTGTCACAGGCCTCCTAAACTTTGTTATCTAAGTCAATTGTCTCACCTAACTTTCCTTCCTGGAAATCAAGGTGGTTCCCAGGAAGGGGAAAATATGGGAGCCCTGCTATCTCTTCCCCCTTTCAGTTTCACTGACCTACTGGCTTAGATAAAATCTACACACCTTATAAACAAATATTTAATTCTTTTTATTTATATCATTTGGATACATTTTTAAATAACCACAAAAGCATGGGAATATAATTTGCCTTAATTCAATCCCCAGCACATCCCCCTTCTCCTTCCCCTTGCTCCCCTCCCTCTCCTCTACTGATCTTTCTTTAATTCTTATTTTGTCCTTATAACAGCTCTTGAGGTGGTGAAAATGTTCCTGGCAGTGCCATTTTATAGATGAGGAAACTGACACTGAGACAGGGCAAGTGACTAACCCAAGAAAGGGCATGGGTTTTTCAAGGTTAATAGAAAATAATAATTAAGAGAAGGCACAGGTAGCTACTGAGGATGCAGAGACAAGATGTTTGAGGCCAACCTGAACAACTTGGCAAGGCCCGGTCCCAAAGTTTAAAAAAGTAAAAAAAGTCTGGGGATGTGGCAAGAACCCCTCTGTTTAATCACTAGTGCCACAAAATAAATAAATAAATTTTAGAAGCACCTTCTTCAGAGGTTTGCAGTTAAGTAAGGCAGCATGTGGAATAGTCAAGCTATATATAGTACTCAGATCAGATAAGGTCCCTGTGTCTGAGAACACAGCATCTAGCCAGCAGTGGAAGCCATTTGCTCAGAGGCAATTTGTTGGGTGTGGTGGCAAAGGCCTGAGAATTCTTTACCCATGCAATTAAGATAAAGAACAAAGCAGTTTTTAGCTCTAGTGAACTTGGATTTTCTAAAGCACATTGGTGAATGTTCCCAGAGGAAATGCAAGCCCCTCCTTGTTTTAAGGCAACTTGGTCTTCAAGTCCTTTGCTTTATTGTTTATTCTTCCTCTTATCCTCACTTTTCTGGCCCCAAATTTGTGTTTACATTTTTATTTATGTTATCCATTTGTTTTGTTAATAACTCAAACCTTTTTTTCTGAAAGAAGGTGATACAGGAAAGGAAAATCAATTGCACTCTATGAATCTG